GTAAAACAATGACTGTCTGTAGATGACAAAATCTAAAATGACATGGTTATAGATCTGATTATAATCTGACCAAGAACTTTGCTTTTCTCTAACATAGAACATTTTAAGATAGAAATAATTACAAATGAATATTGTACCAGGACTTGGTAGACTCTTGGAGTTTTTATGTAACCTTCAATCTATATATATAAAAGGCTAATATGCAGTGTCCCTCTCGAGAGTTCGACCGGGAGACGGGGAGTTCGATTGCTTGCTGTGACGTGTGCTGACCAACAGGGGGCGGCACAGAGTGAAGGAAGGCTCCAACAGGCAGCCAGAAGGCCCCAATCGGCCCTGATCACTGGTCAGGCCTAGGGACCCTGCCAGTGCACGAATTTTGTGCACTGGGCCTCTAGTATATAATATCCATTTAGTAATAAGAATATATATGTACACAAATATAGCACTACTATTTTCTTAGTTGACAAAGCTTCCTGTGCAATTCAAGCATATCAAGTAGGCCTAATTAGTTCAAAACCTCTTCTTTACGGTGAAAAAACAAATCCTTTTGTCACCAGAAAGGGACCAGGCCTCTGGCTGGCCGGTAGCATGTGGGTTCTTGAGTTTGGGCAGGAAAGACTTTACAATATGGGTCCAGGTGATTCTGAGAGGACATTTCTTAAAGCTGGGACAGTGAAATAAAGAACTGGCTTAGGGTAGAAAAAGCAACAGGAGAGAGCCTAGGGCCTAGGCGGTGCTCTGCTTGGGCTCCCGAGAAATGTTATAGGAAAGAAGCGAGCCAAGGCGGAGCTGCTGGCGGCTCACTGACACGTCAGATAAAAGGGGGCTGTGGAGACAGGTTCGGCGTGGGACGAGCTGCCTCTGCTCGTTGCTCCCCTGGTTGCAAGTCTCCTGGGGACCCTTAGAGTTCAGGGGAGAAAAGTAAAGATGCACGCCTGAGAGGGAAGAAAGGTGTAGGTGTGCTCCAGAGAGCGCCCACTGTTGCTTTCAGTTGTATATTCCACATGTGAGTGAAAACATATGGTTCTTGACTTTTCCTGTCTTATTTCACTTAGCATGGTATTCTCAAGATCCACTCACGTTACAAATGGCAGTATTTCATCTTTTCTTATGGCTGAGTAGTATTCCATTGTCTCTGTGTACCACCTCTTCTTTATTCAATCCTCTTTGGTTGTTTCCACGTTGCTTTTTTATTTTTAAGGGCAACCAATAGCATCTTATTTGTGTGTTTTTTTTTTTTATCTTAGCATTTTGCATAGTATTTTTTTTTTGCATAGTATCTCTTATTTAAAAGTTATTCAAATGCTTGTGGTTTAAATGCAGAATTAGAGATATGCAGAATTTGTTTACTGTGATGTCTACCTTTAAAAACTGTTTATTTTACAGTATAAAGTCCCATATCTAGTCTTCCCTCCTAGTAGAGGTGTGTGTTGGGCCCAGTGTGGGGGGCAATGTCTCAAAAGCATGACCCAGGGGGTGGAACTTGGTGAGGGGAAGAGAGATGTGATTGGAGAAGAAGCTACTTGGACTGAAGCAGACCATCCAAAAGAATGGTCAATCTGAAAAGGCTAAACAGTGAGACAACGAAGGCTTGAGTCACAGGACCCGAAGCCAGCATGGCTGGCCTGGAACACTACTTAGTACCTTATTAAAGGTACAGGCTCTGCTCAAGGCTACAAAGTTTAAATTATAGAAGATAAAGAAATCCCAGATACCTGCTTCCAGCCACCGTGGCCTCCGCTCAAGGAGGGGCTGGAAGCCTGGGTTGCCAGGGGAAACCCAGGCTTCCAGCTGGACCAAGGCTACAAAGTTTCAATTATAGAAGTTAAATAAATCCCAGATACCTGCTTCCAGCCCGTGGCCGTGGCCAGCCTGAAAATGGCCTTGAGACCCTCACCCAGGCTGGCCAGGCACCCCAGTAGGGATTCCCACCCTGAAGGAGGTGTGGCCAGCCTGAAAACAGCCCACAGCCACTCACCCAGGCTGGCCACACTCCCATGGGTGAAGGTCCCCACTGGGGGGCTTGACCAGCCTGCAAACAGCCATCAGCCTCTCACCCAAGCTGGCCAGGCACCCCAGAAGGACCCCCATCCTGATCCAGGACAACCTTCAGGGCAAATCAGCCGGCCCACACCCGTGCACCAGGCCTCTATCCTATATGGGTAAAGGGTAATATGCCTCCCAGCACCAGGCTCAGCGGTGGGAGCAGGCCTAAGCTGGCAGGTCATTATCTCCCAAGGGGTCCCAGACTGCGAGAGGGCACAGGCCGGGCTGAGGGAGCTCCCCCTCCCCCCGCCCATGAGTTCACAAAATTTTTGTGCACCAGGCCTCTAGTGTGTGTGTATGTGTGAGTGTGTGTGTGTGTGTGTATCTTGACATCTAGTAGAGTCATTCGTGTGAAATACTTAGCTCTCTGCTCATGAAAGGCTGTGATTCAAGACAGTGGCTCTGGGCATCAGTCCTAAACTGTTCTCAATCACTGAGGTCTCTATATCTGAGGGTACCCTGAGATGACTCAATCCATTCTCCTAAGTATGTAGGGGAATGCCTCTCTCTACCCCACATACACACATACATACAGACTCCTTAGGGATCATAATGCTTATTTAATACAAAACTTGAATTGCAGGTGTATTGTGCAGAGAAATAAGTGAAAAACCATTCCTTCCCTTGAAGGAGTTGAAGACCAAAGAGAGACTGGAGGACCCTACACTGCCCTTCCATTGAGCTGTGAGCTCAGCTGGGCTACAAGGCTCGCTCCCTGCTGAGGCTGACCTGGCAGAGCTACTGGTGCATGGCCCCGTGGGCCTCCCAGCTGCCAGCAGCTGAGCTGGTGCTCCAACTCTTTCAAAACAGGTTGTGCACAAAATCAAGAAGAGGATCTGTGGGTAAAGAGGCTATACGAGGAATGTTACCCCTAGATAAAAAGAAATTATTTAGCTTCCATGTGACGAACACAGGAATTTCTCTTGCAGCTAGGAATGTTTAACTAGTTTATTCTTTTGCCCTGCCCTGTGGTTTACCCTGGTCTAATGCTCCCTTAAAAGGGCATAAAATGAGGTAACATGGATTCTCTTCATAACCTTCATCTGTTCATGGAAGAAACCTGTCAAACTAGAAATGTTATCAAGTGGCAAGATGTTAAAACATGCACTCGCAGAGTTGAAAGTAAAACCGGGAAGTGAAAGAAAGTGCCCGTTCTTCTTTTTTAAAATGTTATCTTTATTGTTGAGAGTATTACAGATATCCCCCATTTTTCCCTCCTTGTCCCCCACAACCCAGCTCCCACCCACCCCAGTCCTCCACTACACTATTGTCTGTGTGCATGGGTTATGCATATATGCATACAAGTTCTTTGTGTGCTCTCTTCCAGCCCCCACCCCCACCCCACCCATTCCACTTCCCTCTGAGAATCTTTAGTCTGCTCCAGGATTCCATGTCTCTGGACCGGTTTTGTTCATCCAAGGTACACCTGAATACTCAGAAGGGCAGAATAGGATTAGGGAACATGACTGAAGTGGACCAAAAATTAGAAGGGGAAAGCTGAAAATACTAAAAGTAGATGAAATTGGTAGGTTTCCTCTCCATATTCTATGGCATAATTTTGTTTGGGCTTAAATTCAATGTTTAAGTGGAATGAAAATTTTGGAAATTTCTTCTAACACCTAAAGGCCTTTATAGATTTTGAATAACTCAAAAAAACTTTATATTCACTTGCATATTAATTTATTTTTCTTTTACTCTTTGGTTAAAAAAATGACAAAGAACTGCCTGTTCTTACAGTTTGATAAAATATAATTTCAAACTCCTCTCTCCATCCTACTATTGCATTATTTGTTAATAAATAAATTGAAGAGCATGATGCTATTAATTCCATTCAACCTACTATTTCTTTGCTTGGTCTGCTTTTTTATTCAGAAGAATATATATATATATTACATTTTCAAAATTTTCACAGGGTCTTAAAGTAAATACTACTATTTACTATTTTTATTTGTACACCACAAATAAAAACTCCTGGTATTATAGTAGGTACTGTAAGGTCTGGGGCTGGGAAAATAGGGTCTTTCCTGATCCCACCCACTGGGTTGGAACAAAACAACCCAGAACTGCCGAGCCACGTCCTGCTGGACAATAGCTGCCATCCTGGGACCCCCAAG